GAGTCAACACATGCTGTCGGGAAAGTCCTTCGCGTGGAACTCCATCAGCAAATGTTTCCGAGTTGTCAGCACCCGGTTCACAGAGATGTCTCATAAACAGTGAGACATACGCCCGGAAATTCTTCTCGGATTTACCCCTTAAGTCGCGGACCAACCACTGAGAGTTGAACGCATCCTGAGGAGGCATTCCGTAACGCATTATTGCATTCAAAAATGCTTTTCTTTGTCGAGCATTAAATCCCAAAACCTTAAAAATAATTCATAAAAAAATGTTTGAAAATGCCTTTGAAAACAATTCTCATTCTCAACAAATGCTCTCCAATTGATTTCATATATTATTGACTGCATTGAGACAACAAATGATCGTAAATGTAAAATCTCTATTGTATTACAAATCGTTGCAGTCTTTAGTCTTTTATAATATATTAAGAATAAAGAAATAATTGAATCACAAAATACCTCAATATTGCCGCCAACGCGGGCCAGTAGTGGTGGAAGCGGACGGTCTTTCTCTCCGCGTTCACGTCTTCGAGAGCGTCCGCCCTTTTCCTCTTTGTTGTCCTTGAAATAATTGAATCACAAAATACCTCAATATTGCCGCCAACGCGGGCCAGTAGTGGTGGAAGCGGACGGTCTTTCTCTCCGCGTTCACGTCTTCGAGAGCGTCCGCCCTTTTCCTCTTTGTTGTCCTCGAAGTCGTCGTCATCGTCTTCATTGCCTGAAGGCATCGAAAAGTCTGAGTTATAGTCGGATATGTTTTCAGTCCAATTGTGTTCCTCTTGAGAGCCCATCGCGTCGTTATAATTAACTTGTTTCCGGACGCGCTTTCCTTTGCCCAGAGTTCGGGCCAAGTCTTCCTGTTGTTGTTCGTAGTGATGTCGCAACAGTTTCTCCCAATAGGCCGGGTCTGCGCTCTCGACGTCTTGTTTCAACACTTCAGTCTCGGGCTCGTCTTCGTCCACATCTTTGGTCACATAAGAGGCGACTTTAAAGGAACTCAAGTACTCATTAGCCCAGACCTCCTTCTGTTCGATGCCCTCTTGGGTGCGATCGAGAAGGCCTTCGACGGCCGCTTCGTCGTAATGGATAGCACTCTCCTCTTTCCCCTCTTCGTCTTTAAACAGCTCTTCGGTTCCAAATCTTAAGATGTCGTCCAACTCCTGCTTAGACATAGCGGCCGAACGACTGCCGAGTCCGGGTCTCACCACCAGATGGGTTAACATCATCTTCTTTTTAGCCACTTGTGTGATGCGCTCTTCAACTGAGGCTCTGGTGACGAATCGATATATCATTACTTTGTTGGCCTGTCCTATACGATGGGCTCTACTGAATGCTTGAATATCATTGTGTGGATTCCAATCGGAGTCATAGATGACGACAGTGTCAGCGGTGGCCAAATTAATCCCAAGAC